CATCCCTGCATCTTGGCTCCAACAATATCCCTTCCCCATACAACTCACCGAAGTTTCTTCCCTCTCCTCCCATCCCTCCCTCCCAAAAACGCTCCTCAAAGGAGACGTGCTGATCTTTATTTGCAACCCACTAACAAAAGACATACCCACGCTTATCTCCAATGCCCAACATATTCTTCAAAGACCGAACACAATACTTGTTCTCACCGCTTCTAGCACATCCGAACATGCGCTAGATTACATTTCCAAGGAACTGGCAGCTGCAAATTGCACCCCCGGAAAGATTCTTGCTGTAGACCCTATTCGTGCTTTGGAAGCCGTTTCTGCTCTAAAGGCGGATCCTTCGTCTCCTGCTGCTATCCAGAGATACCAGGAGAATTTTATGGGGTCGAGGATATCGCTTCTTGGTGATGTTTTGGCCGGGATGCTTGGGTTGAAGGACTCGGGTCGCACGTTATCGTTGTTGTCAGCTATCCGCACCCAGAGTGCTCTGATACAAATGCGGAGCGCGTTGTATGCTAGTGCCCGATCAGTATCCCAAGCACGCCTAGCGATAGACCGCGTCTTTACAGGTGCCAGCGAGCTGCAATCCCAAGTCGAAGAAGTCCGTGCGAGAACAGACAGGGAGGTGCTCGTAGAGTCCGGAATAGATGACGCTCTGCTTCGCGGTTCGAAAGAGATGAAAGCCGTACTAGAGTCGTTGGCCTGGCTGAAGATGGTATGGCGCGTTGATGAGATAGATTCTTTGGTGAGTTCCGCGCTGGACAGGTACTGGTGTAGGGAACTTGAAAACCAGGTATGCACGCATCGCATGAATATTTTTTTCATTTGTAAAATTGATAACCTATAGCTCATCTTACAAACGGGTCGTCTCGCCTCTACCCAAGCATCCCTAACATCATCCACCTTTTCTCAACTCGCATCTCTATCCCTTGCCTTCCATTCCCCTATTCTCGACAACCATCTCCGTCAACTGACACACTCCCCAACATACGCACTTACCCCAAATACCCTCACCCGCCCCATACAAGCACGGCGTTCTCAGCTGACACAACACACCACCACGCGGTTACACCGTGATGCCCAGAATACAGTATTGGGTGCGTTTGGTGGTATGTTTGGCGGTGTTGGTGTAGCATGGTGGCTTGCATTTGGAGAGAACGCTTTGAGTATTGGCACTGGTTCCGAAGCTGGGACTGCGTTAGGTGCTGGTGCACTCGTTGCTGTTGCTAGTATCAGATGGGCGGTGGGTAAATGGGAGCGAGCAAAGAGGAAATGGATAGAGGATGCTGATAGGGTCGGGGAGGGGCTGAAGAGGGATCTAAAGGTGAGCTTCGATATATTTTTGTTTTGTATTGACTAGGCTTATGTGTGAGTATCTGATAGGCGACTCTGGAGCGAGGGATCGAGAAGAATGTTGCGGTTGTTCCTATGGCGGCGTATGAAGGGCTGCGAGAGCTAGCTGGGAAACAACAGGAAGAGATTGATGTTGTCAGGAGCGATCTTCTTTCAATGCAAGCTGACGTTGAAGCGCTTGAAACTGCTCGACCTTCATAGTATGTAGCATGATTGGATATACTGCAGCACATTCGTCAAAGATGATTTTGATCCAAGTAGATGCTACGCTAAGTATACGTGATGCTATAGAATTTTCGCCGCATTCATGCCACTGTTTGTTCAGGAACGAGTCAAAGACATTATTTTGAGACGGTGGACATTGAAGTGCTTGCTCGATCTTCAAAAGAGTGGCAGTATGATTGCATTTGTTCCGGATGATCTAGATTTGTGTATATGCAGATACATGCTGAGCTAAATGATGGTGTACATGATGCCATAAAAATCCGCGTGCGTTCATGAACTCGTGATAAGTATCTTTGGAGGGGCAAGGGGAACGTGTTGCGAACTTTCGCGCTGTGGTCGTGGTGTGCCTGCACCATCCTCTTCGTCACTGTCGTCACCAACACCAAACAAATCTTCTCTTTCGTCCCAGACGTCATGTAAGCGGGCGACTTTAGCAGGCTTTGACCTGGATGGGGCTGAGGGATGAGAGTACAAGGGTAGGAGCTGTGTTCCAGACGTTCCTTCATCTTCTGACGCGTCGTCTGCATCGGAAATATCGTCCGTCTCTAATGGGCGGTATAGGCGTGCGATCTGAAGAATCGGGGGTCGCGTGAGATCGCTGGACGAGACAGGAAGCGGCTCACCTCTCGCTGCGAACGGTAATATCTCTCGATATAATATGCAAGATAGAGTCCGACGGTGGAACCCAGCCAATTTGCCTGTCGAGCATGATTACTGGATGAAAGACGCCAGAGCCAAGAGAACATACCACCACATCACCAGATTGAAATTCCTTATGCTAGTTCCGCATGATATAGTCGTACTCGCTCAGACGAGGAAAGTGGAACGTACTGGAAGCATGGACTGCACGATCTCGCTCACGAACCCTCCAAAGAAGAAACAAACGACAGCGGTAAATATCAGCCCTGAATGGCGCCAGAACCAAATTCTACGAGCTTCTCTGCAATTAAACCCAAACATTCAGTAAATAGCCAGTTAGCTAAAATTTCAAAACTCACTCCTCCACGTCGAATATGAAGTAAAACACACCCGTCGCGACGCACAGACAAGTAAAGTGTAGGAACTTGTCGTTCAGGGGTAGGGCCCGGGAATAGTTCGTGAAACCTAAGAAAGCGAGTATCACCATTATCACGCAGGTGAACACGAGGAACCACTAATGAAATTAGTGATCATGAGCGACTAATGCCTTCGTGTGATAGTCCCGAGGGAGGCCTACCGGTCGCAGTCGAACGGGTAAGTCGTACTTTGGAAGTTGAACTCGGTGAGACTTCATTATGGCTTTTGAAATTTTCTTGAAATGCTTGCGCATTGGCTTTGACGGCGAAGTTGGAGAATTTGATGTCATGGGTAGTCGGATGAGTGCTCAGCCATGGGGAGCGCGGGTGAGCAAGTGGATTACGGCTCCGCAGCCGGGAAGTTATTTCCTTATATAATTGTAAGAACGCCGGAGCCCCCACGCGAGAAGGCTTCCCCTTGCTCCGATATGTATGCAGATGAGTTTCTGAGTTACTTATTCTCCACGACGAGTTCTTTCAACCTACACAGCAGAACATAATCTTTCTCTGCCGCAAGGTAATGTACTTATAAAGATAACGCAAAATTGAACGCGGACTAGCCTATCCATGAGGAAACTAATACTCATGATGGAACCTGAGGCCTTGAAGCTTGAGGCCTGAAACGCGCCTCCAATCGATTCTACTACACAAACTGCGGAACGCACAAATAACAAATGTACAGATATCATGATAGCGCAATAGAACACATGGACAACAGATCTTTGATGACATTTCGAACTAACTACTATTGATTATCACCAAGGGCCATCAGTTTGTGTATCAGGTTACAGAATGATCATTTTAGCCAGTCTCGCAGTCCGCTTCAAATTGGCATTCAGCATTTATTCAGGCTCGTAGGGCAATTCTGGAGCATTACAGTTGAGTTTTACTGGAGTCTTGAGATTTGTGACGGCAGTGTAGTTTTGGAGGATGGGCGAGGTGTAGAACTGGTAGTAAGCGGTAGTACTTCAAGTTTGAAGATAAACAATATTACTAATGTCCGTGAGTTGCGTAGGTTCGGCCTATCGATTCTAACAAGTTAGACCAAATTTAGCGGATCAGATTCTCGAAAACTCGACGATTTATGTCCGGACATGAGGCCTCAGCGTGAATGTCGGGATTCTGGCCAGTCTTGGTACAGGTATATGCAGACTTCAGGTCTACGTCTGGGTATAGGTCTGGGTACCCCGCAGCATGCTTGGCAGGTTCAAGCGGGGTTGAATCAGTCACTCGTAGGTACGGCTCACCTAATAATATCATCCCAAAGTTCCTGCCCGCTGCCCGCCAGTTGTCAGGAGTACAATTGCTATGTCTGCCCGCCACCACTGGAGGTGGTGTCAATGGAATCCTTCATTTAGATACCGCTCGAACCGCCAGTCAGAAGTATGTCGGGCGCGACGAGGACAGGGACGGTGTGCGGCTGAGGTTGTAGAATATCATCTTTGAGAAGGCTGGTACGCCGGAGAAAGGTGCTAAAATGGAATTGGCATGGTGTGCAAGCTGATCGTGTTGCTGCATGCAGCAAAGAGGGACATGGCGGCTGTGAAAGCGTGATGTGACTAGGCCTCGGGTCTTCAAAGCTTCAAACTCCGTCAGAGCATCGATGCGCTGCAAACGGTAGACCTGGAAGTCAGACTTATACCCAATTTATACCCGCCCTCACCTCAGCAGTGGGGTCCGGATTAGTACTTAGGCCATATTTGTCCGGAGGGATAGATCAGGTCTTAAACAGCGCCGAAAATGACCGGGTGAGCTATCTAGCTGGAACACTCTATGATGATAGAATGTAAATATACTAAACCCTCCCCTCCTCGAATTTCAAGTTGGCGAACCGCCCGCAGTAAATACCAAGTATTTGGTTCTCAGCGCTGAGCGCTGAGAGCAAATTGTCCCTGAATCCTTCTCAGTAAGTGATCTGAGGGGACATGTGCAGACTTACAGTAAAAGCTTGTAGAGTTGCCATGCTCCGAGTCGTAACCTTGCATAGCAGCTAGCAAGATACGAGGCAGCCGGCGCAACGCTGTTCATTTGTGATTGCCGATCTTGTGGGTTTCTTTTCTTTTCAGCCTTGACAATGGAATGCGATCACTGAAAATAAACGAGATTAGCTAGTCCGACAGTCGATTGAAGAAAGTGGTGTTACTAACCTGACGGTGATCATATGTCGTACCTGCCTTCAAGCTGCGAGCAGAGCGTGCTCGATTTGTTCCGAGTTGGAATGCTAACAAGAATGTCGCTCAGGTGAGCAGCTCGTAATATAACCTACAAACTGCTACCCTAAATTTGTCCAGGCGTGAATCTGGCCTTCGTCATACCGACTTGCATTTGTTCAGTCGGACAAAGTATAGCTCCCCGTAACGGCAGAACACTGAAATTTGTCATGGTTGCATCAAACATACAGCCCTCAGACCTTAGACAAATATGGACTGGCCTCTGGCCTCCCTACCTACCTGTATGCATTCAGGGGTCCTCGTATCTCTTGTGACCAACGGCCGTTTTATAAATGCCGCTAGGGAAACGCTCGGGTTCAGTCACCTTGAAAAAGGATGCAGAAAGCAGCGGTAGCACAAATTACGTCCCATCAGAATGGAGGGTACTGCTACACACAATGGCTCTACAACGTTGTTGGGCGACGTAACATTTCGGATCGCATCAGCACCAACAGTAGACACCAGCCTTTACGGTCTGTCTTCCGAACAGGCTGAATTCTTCAAGGCGCAAACCGGTATTGACGACGACGAAGACTTGAAGAGGCATATCCTGGAGGTGCAGGCGAAAGCATATCAGGCGAGTCATTCCCAGTGGACTTCGTCATAAGTCTAATAACTATCTATCGTTGACAGGTTGCACCGTATCCTTGCATTCGTTCATTTGTTTTCCTTCGGTATATTTTCACTGAATCTGCACACCCAACAGAAATATAACATTCCTCAGGTTAAACTTATCAAATCTTTCGGTATACGAACATATCCTTGAGCTTGGTCGCAAGCGCCCCGATGCCGTGTTACTCGACATTGGTTGTTGCTGTACGTCAAACGATGATGTTCTGTCGTAAATAATATTGACTCCATTGTAGTTGGCACTGATGGCAGAAAGGCTGCGGCGGACGGCTTTCCTGCCAAAAACATCATTGCATCAGATCTTTTCAACGGTAATATTTTTTCCCCTGTGAATAATCACTCTTGTTAACGAACTGTATGTACAGAATTTCTCCAACTAAGCCACGAACTGTTCAAAACGACACCAGCTTCTTATCCCGGATGCTTCCTACCTGGAGATGTCTTTGATCCGGTATTTCTCTCCATAGCTGCGCCGACGGACGACGTCTCTCCGGCGCCAGCTATTGATTTGTCCTCTTTGAAATCCCTGAACCCCCTTCATGGTCGCATCAGCGTAATAAACGCTATTTCATTCTTCCACCTCTTCAGCGAGAAGAAACAATTCCTCGTTGCCAAAGCTCTCGCGGGTCTGTTATCTGCGCAGCCAGGTTCCGTTATCTGCGGTTACCACGTCGGAAGTCTCGAAAAAGGAATAGTAAATAACAGTCTCCCGGGCTCCGAGTATGGGTTGTTCGCCCATTCTCCCAAGACTTGGGCATCTTTGTGGGACGGAGAGGTCTTCAAGAAAGGCAGTGTGAAGGTAGAAACAGAGTTGGTGGAAATTGCGACTCGCGATGTGCAATTCTTTATGATGAAGTGGTCAGTGATGAGATTGTAGATACACGCATCGCGGTCGATTTGAGGAAGTGCGTGTGTTACAAGGTTTGTCGATAATCTAGTTATAGCTCAGGTTCAACCCTCTGCCAATGGTTCATAATTCTACCAATGTTATCAACGATACTAGAATACAGCAGTATCATATTGCCTGTACTTACATCGGGTGTTACCCCGAGCGGTCGATAAATAGGATTTTTTTAAAAGGTTCAACCCGTTTAACTGCTAATGACAAGGGAATCTAAGATTGATCCTCAATTTCCATGTAGTAAGTACATTGGATAGTCCGGCTGTTTCAAGTTCACGCGCATAGCCTATAAGATAAACCCCGTCGTTCGAAATTTCATGACCTCCGATTCAAGACCTTGGGCCCGAAAATCAACGAGACCGCGATTAAACTACATAGGAACTGGTGCCGAACCTTACTGCTGAACATACTCGGACTGGTCTTGCTTGGAGGGATCCATGTTTTTCATTCCAGACTACAGGCAAGGGTATAGCACGGGTATACCCGCGGGTCGGAAGATCAATAGCGTGCTAACCCGCGGTATAGCAGACTTACCCGCGTGTTGCATTTACCCGCGGGTGCACAAGCAAACTTTACCCAATACACTCTCCTCTCGTCCTCTTTTCTTTAGAGACTTCATGATCTCAATAAGGTCCCTGGGTGCTACCAGATCACAGTGGAGCCATGAGCCAAGACAGAGGAATGTACGGGTTGATGATGGAGACAAGTGGTTTCGAGTTAAGTGTAGAAGGTGCCGGCCTTGCGAACGCAAATAGTTGTCAAGCTCATCTACTAGAGATGCCGCTATGCAAAGAGATATGTCACCAAAGTCATCAGCACATTGTCGTACCTTGTCTTCTGCCAAGACATGTGCAGCTGGAGTCGAAGGTGAGACTCAGCAAGCGAGGCCGTGTGACAGTGTCATTGGCAGTAGACCGATAGTTAGTGGTGAATCCCTGTCATGTCCAATATATAGCACCGCGGAGAAGCTTCGGAAATAGTGCGGATACCCGCTGGACATACCGGTAAGCGCTAACGGGTACGGTACGGCCGCGGGTACCACATCGCAACACCGTACCCGTGACCCCCATACCCGTGCTATACTATAGAAGTCATAGTCCGAGGATGCACTTGAGTCAAATTGTAATCACAGAGTCGATATCTGGCATCACTGTGCCACTGCTAGTTGCTTGAACTCGGACCTCCAAGTACTTGACTTCCAAATGAGCCCTATGATATGGAGAGCTGGTTCCCTACAAGATGCGGAGTCCGAGAGAAGTAGGCTGCCAATATAGAATTATAAGGGAACTGACATGGAACAGGGGAAAATGCCAGACTCCAGTGCGTATGTGGGGTTTCTGTCGACGTAGTAGAGCTGATCACCAACAAATTGACGGTCCAGCACGGGCTTACCCAAGCGAGCACCGCCACCACGGCACGTGAAGTAGTATTCGGTGACTCTCGAGTCACGTCCTGGGAAGTGACATCCTTATATGTACGTACTTGACTGCTAGTCGGGCACCCGGTCCCAAGGCCATACTTCATGATTGCAAGGACTCGTCTGCTGGCTATCAGTCGTGCCATGTCGACCTCGACACGCTCTTCCACATGCCCACTATCACAATTTTCCGCTTGTGAAATCTCAGACGCCCTCATAAAGCTCGGATCTCCAAACGGAGGACACATCCCAGACATTCACATGCTCTCCCCAACATCTCAAGTCAAGATCTGTGCACCAGCATACACCGTCCAAATGGTACTCGCATCAGACAATTTAGCCCCAAAGCTCTCCTCCCATTTCGTAGATACCGCACCCCCAGGGTCTGTAATCGTCGTCGACGCCCCACCTCGTTCAGTTTGTTCAACTCCCCGTTCCATGTCCGAACTTTCACACTCATTTCTATCGCAGAAACAAAGAATGCAGTTTGGGGTGGTTTGATGACTGCGGGCGCACAAGCTCGGGGAGCTGTCGGCGTCATTATCTCTGGGCGTTGCAGAGACCTTGCTGAACATCGTGCAGCGGATTTCCCGGTCTTTGCGCGTGGCCATTCAACAGTCGGGCAGTCCCCTTTCGTACGCCCGTCTGGTGTAAATGTCACCCTCACCATACATCCCAAAGATGCTGGCGATAGCTCAGACGCATTCGCTTCTGTCACAGTGACACCAGGCGACTGGATCATCGCAGATGAAGATGGCGTTATTTGTGTGCCAGTGAACATGGTAGACAAAGTCGCGGAGCTTGCTAAGAAGGGACAAGAGATCGATGCTAAGTGTATGGCTGACATTAAAGCTGGAAAGGGCATCCAGGCATCTTTCAAGGAGCACAGGGGCAAATAAAAACATGATATTTGGGGCTCGTTATCCTCTGCGCATCAAAATACTGGATATGCATACATACGTCACGTAACAGCACTACATCAAGTAGTCATACCGGCTTGAATATTGTACAAACGTGGTCCTCGACAACCCCAGTTAGATTTATTTTTTTGCAAAGTAAGAGAGTGCGCATATGTCATGTCTAGAATATTCATGCACGGAGACCAGTTTTGAGAGAAAGCGTGGTCTTCAGAGTGTGGAGAACGAAACGAACGCTGTGGTGTAGAGCCCAAAGAAGAGAAACTGAAGGAAAAAGATCAGTCACACATCTGATAGAGATTAAAATGCGCATACTCAGCAAGATAGGAAGCCAGAACAGGACGAGCATCCGATCGCCTGAAAGGAGGTATCAATTAGACTCATCGTCCTTTGAAATACTGATGCAACACTTACGCCCATGCTGCGCTTTCTGCGCATCATTTACAGGCCTATAACCATACGACTCTACTTCTTGAGCTGGCACAGAAGCTGTGGCTGTGGCATAACTGAGACGCCTGCTCGGGCCTGTAAGGCGCGCAGGTACCTCCGCATCTAAAGCAGAGGACTCCTCAGTGCACGACGTACTAGCCACAGGCTCCTTCGGTTGCTCCTCGAGCGTCTCGCGTGGTGTATACATCGGAGGCGCATCCTCAACAGGCACCGGACGGAGCGTTGCAGTAGCAATAGCGAGCGTCATCCATTTCTCCCAAGTCGCTTTTAGTTCCTGTGCCGCCCGTGTTGCTGGATGAGTAGCATCCCTCACTTCTCCATCGACCTGCTGTTCCTCCCGCTTGTCACCGACGAATGGCCACCCCGTTATCGGGACGAAGACGGGGAACACCATTGGGATCTGCGGAAGGGCGCCCCAAAGGACAGCAGGCATTTCGGGAAGATGCGGAAGAGGAAGCTGAGGTATGATGCCTTGAGGCTGGAGCTGCGCAAGCGTTCGTTGGATCATATCCACAAAAGACGCTGTCTGTTTCTCGTCCCTTGCATTAGGAGGTACCTTGGTATCTGTGTCCTTACTGGGTAATTCCAGCGTTTGTTCCGTGTGGGATTCAGGGCTTATTTGTTCCGTGGTATCTAGTGTGCGCCGACGGAAAGTACGCGTCGATCGGCGTTTGACGATGACGAGTTCTGACTCATCGCTCTCCACGTCACCCCACTGACTCTCACCGTCACCGTCATCCTCGTCTTGATTTTCTGTTTCGACACTGGGCTCTCGCCGTGGGGTGATATCATCAAAGAAGCCTTCAGGGGCAATATCCTCCGGGGTTTTCCCGAGTCCGTTCACGATCTCCAAGTCCGCTCCAGCTTCTACGAGTAATTCCAAACAAGGTTTGGATAGAGACAACACAGCAAAATGAAGAGCCGTATAACCATTCCTATCGCGCGCGTCCACATCGATATCATGCGCAATCAGGAATTTCGTGAGCTCCGCGAAGCCCAAAAACGACGCGAGGTGCAAAAGTGTCTGCCCATTCGACGTAGAGTGCGAAATAGCGGTACTCATGGCGATGGTAGACTGGTTGTCAACGGATACATCTATCATGGAAAGGAACTTGACAATTGTGGTCTCGAAACTTTCTCCTTCGTCTGACCGGACGAAAAGCAGTGGTCGTATTTCGCGATAAGACGAGGATGCAACGACGTGCATCATGTCGTTGGTGTCTGAGGATGTCGGAGAGTCTTCGTTTCCTGCAGTTCCGATGATACGGCGGGCGACGTTCTTTGCATCTTCGATCTTGCCTGTCATTTTGAGTCCGACGACCTGGAGGGCCAACTCCATCCTGGAAATGAAATATTTAAGCGAAAAAGGTAAAAGGTTATCGGTGTGACGTACAGGGCCCTGTCTGACTCGTCGGTGTACGTGAATAGAGAAGGGAGCGAGGGGTCGTTTGTCTTCTCGAAGCCCTCGAACCAAACAGCGACAACACCAGGAGAAGCTCGAGGAGGTAGGACACAGACTAAAGTATTGTCGCTCCAACGTTGAGTAGAGCTTGCGGGGACGTCTCCAAAGACGCAGTTCAGTTGAAGAACATGGTGGAAATTCTCGCCAAGGATAGTGACTTCAATGCCGCCGTGCGTAGGACCAGAAGCGGGTATAAGACGGTGAATTTTTGGGAGAGCAAGTGGGGCAACAAGAGGTGATCTAGGGTCGAAGAAAAGGAAAGATGTCGGCTGCGAAACAAGTTGCGGGATGGGTGGCGATACAGGGGAAACGAGAGGCGATGATATGGAGCTTGATACTGGAGATATTACTGGATTTGCGATGAATAAATTAGCTTGTGCGTCTTCCGGCTGTTGGAACCCATTGACACCAAACATAGCTGCGGAAGGAACAGTGCCATTTTCAATTTGAGATAATGAGCAAGACGGCATAGGCACTAAAAGATGAGAAGGTGTAGGAGACCGGGAACTAGCCACTGTTGAAGGTTGAGACGGTGTGAAGCTGGCCTCTCTCACGAATTTCACCGGGCTGTTTCTACTAGTAACGTCATATGGTTTTGCTCGCTTCTTTGACTGGCCTTTCACATTCGTTGCCTTGCGTTTCGAGGGTGCACGCTTATCCGCCAATTCCCCGCTCGGTGCGATCTGGGACCAGTCGACTTCGGTTTCAGTGAGGGGATTGAACACAGAATTTGACTTGGTCGTCGACTTGTGATCATCGGTAATCATAATCGGAGGAGTCGTTCCCGATCCGACGATGCGTCCAGTATGATCCATCATTGTGAAATGGATATGAAACCCGACCTTTTCCCGGTGGTGTCTGCAGTAGCACGTAATGCGGACGGGAAGTACGACCGACCCTGTTTCGAAGTCAAGGACTTCGGGGCAGTTGAACTGAATGATACTAGTCGTGTCTTCCTTGCCTCTCAGTCGTTCATTACCATCCTCTGGGGTATCTGAGCCAGACCTGGGGGGTCTGACACGAGCCGCGATTTTCCTAGCCACGCGCTTTGCCTAAAGGGAAAATAAAGTTAGTATGGAGCTCTGACCGTATAGAGGTACCGACCTCTCGGTTTCTACAGCTTCCGCAGCTTAGCACGCGATTGTGTGGTGATGTAGCGCATGTCACAGTCGTGGTAAGGTGTAACATATCCAAGGGAGAAGGGTCTGATTGATGATGAGTTTGTGCCAAGGACAGAGAAGTATTCTCAGTACCTATCTTCCCTTCCCGACGAGTGCGCTTCTTGGTGAAAGTCCCTGGTGAAAGTTTCAGCCATTTCCATGAACCAACCCTATCGTACAAGTACGGTTCCCCTGACGATGAGCTGGCATGGGCCAAGTCCAACGCGACGCGCACTTGAGTCTCTACGCGAGACTTTGTACCGTGTTGAGGAATATTAGGGGTCAGGATAGGAAGGCTTCACGAATTAAGATATGAATACTCGAATAAAAGATAAACGCACTTGTAGCAAGATTCTCGTGGTGGAAAAACGACTCGATGCGGAGCGGTAGATGGATCCCTTTTGGGTGGACGCACAGCAGGGGGAGGGATGACAGGTGAACAATGCATGTGCATATGAGAGGGAACAAGATGGTCGGACTCAGGTAAAGGAGCTTGCGCAGTAGAAACACAGCTGTCGCCTGTCGGGCGGATTGCATCCGGTTTCAAACAATCTGGCATGACTTGAAGTAGAACAGGGGAAGATTCTGGAGCAGAACAGGCCGAGCTAAACCGAGGTATATGACACGTCAACGACAGCGATCGGAGACGAGAACCTTTTCAAGACATACTCTTCATAGGCATGCTCATCTATCAGGTCGTTAAGCTGAAGCATCCTCTCGTTGTCAGGTTTATTCATGACACTACGCATAGACTCATTGTCCAAAACGCCAATTTCGGAAAACGTCTTCCTTGGACGAATTGAGTTATACCAGGCTGATAGGTTATGGTCATGGTGTAAGGTAACAGGATGATGACTGTCGGAAGATTCAGGTGTTGTTGGTGACGAAGAGCGAGAGTCCATGGCTGTTGCGGTTGTCGTCGACATCACTGACGAGCGAAAAGCGTGTTCACGGAGCAGTCGCAGTGAGGCCGGTAGAAAGGGATAGCACGTATCTTTGAAACTGCAGTATGACCCCAACAACTCCGACAATCTGTTTGATTACCTAATATTTCACTTTGAATTAATTCTGAAGGGCCTTGGGTCAGTCTGTTGAATGTTCGTGCTTTGTCCACCATGAAGAGAGGCGCAGAGAGACAAATCAGCAAAGACGACGGCGATGACATAGAGGTATGATGACAATTATTTATGTTGTCTTGACTGGTCATTGACGCGAGCAGGAAGTCGAAGACCCTGGCAAGGGTTTCCAAAAGGCAGACGAGTCTGTCCTCACAAAGCGGCAGTGAGTATCCAGTAACTGCAGTGAGCAACGCTTATTCTGTGACACCCAGAATACGTGGTTTACCCAAGCGAGCTACGGCTTCAACTAAGGCTTTGTCTTTCGCCGGACTCCCCAGTGCACCTCTTTCACCCGCGGATTCGGTGAGTACGTAGTCAATGCCTTGCAAATCTTTCCAATAAAAGCCCATCCAGGAATCACCTGCTGTTCCAAAATTTGGTGGTTTCTCAGGGTTTGGTTTAGGAGCTGGGCCGAGTCCCTTCTCATTCACCCCTCCAGCCGCTACTGCATTCGCGACCTCAAACGTTACACACACTGCGTCTACTGCTACAAAGGACTTTGCATCGGTGGTACAAGCCACTAGTACTGCCAATGCATCCATGAATCCTTCAGATGAAGATTACAACGCAGAACTGAAATATTACAAGTCTATTCGTGGTCTTAACATCTCCCTTTTGTCAGCTATCCAAAAAGCTGTAGACCAGGATCCTTTTATTGACATCGCAGGCCTTCTTGAGAGTTATAAAAATCTGCGGACTACCGTCCAGACAGATCTTGATAGCTCATCCAAAGCCGCTAGCCAGAAGGTATCAGCTTCTGGCCCTCATGTGCTCGAGAAGGCTGCACCTCCAGTAACTGGATTTCCCGTGCCAAAAGGCTTCTCTGGATTCGGTAGCTTTGGTTCCCCATCATTACCTACTTCATCCACAAATGGAACGGATAAGAGCTCGACACCTAACAATGCCTTCGCCTTCTCCACATCAACTTCCAACACGAGCTCGACCCCAACTTTCGGTTTCGGTGCCAAAACGAGTGAAGATAATCCTGCAACACCATCTCCCTTTGGCACTTCGGAAGCCCCGAAATCGGCTTTTTCATTTGGGACTAAATCCGCTGATTCCAACTCCTCAAGTCCGAGTTCGTTTTCATTCGCCCCATCAGCCGCGCCTGCACCTACGCCTGCACCCAGCAAGACAAGACAAAGACAAAGACGATTCAAAAGCCTCATCGGCATTTGGCTCTAGTTCAAGCATTCCTAACTTCTTCGCGTCATCCAAAGCAGCATCATCCACGTTCTCCGACTCCAAGCCAACATCAGCATTCGGCACCACGACATTATTTGGTAACAGTAATGACTCAAAGACGCCCTCCTTCTTCACCCCAGGGTCCTCAGACCTATTCAACAAAGTATCCGCTAAAACCGGTACAGGAAATGAAGACACCAAAACCGGAAGCACTGGTCTATTCGGCAGTTCCTCCTTCACACCACCTACAAACACTTTCGCATCCGCTGCCACCGACAAACCCACCAGTGCTTTCGGCACGTTTGGCGGAGGCTCGCCACCAAAAGGAAATGGTTTTACGTTTGGGAAGACGGGGGGAGGGAGTATTGGCAATCCAGTAGGGTTTGGATTCGGCGTCGCGAAGCCTGCAGATGGGGCTTCTACGTCTTCATCGAGCGCCCCCACGGAATTCAGCTTTGGTGTTCCACCAACCAAGTCTGTCTCTCCGCCAATGGATACCACCAGTCGATCAGGTTCACAACCTGCTGCCACCGATGAGAGCACAGACGATGCAAAGTTGCTGCCAACTAGCAATCACGATGGTGAAGGCGAGGGTGAAGAAGATGAAGAGACAACGTACACCGTGAAGGCTAAAGTCTTCAAGCTTTCAAAGACTTCTGACAAGTCTGAGTGGAAGGAACTGGGTATTGGTCAGTAATTCTTTGTTTTGGCATCATCCAGGATCTTGCTGACTTTTGTATAGGTATGTTCCGTTTGAAGAAACATAAGGAGACAGGCGCACGACGCGCACTGATGCGCAACAGTGCCACGGGGAGGATTGTTATTGTTCGTTTTCATCATTTCGTATCAACTGCAGTTGCTCACCCACATATCCCGTTAGAACTTCAGGTTGTTCGCGTCACTAACCCCAACACTGATGAAGACAATGGTATCCTTTGTCGGACACGATGAAGGTGCTCCGGCATCGTTCCGAATCCGTGTAAAAACACCTGAGCAAGCTCAGGAGCTCAAGAATGCTTTGGATCGCGAGGTCGCAGCTGTCAAAGAGTCAAATTGAGGGGTTTGTAATTCCATGTCTCTAATGCCCATGTCTAATTTTACGTACTCCCTCGTATACCTCTGTCTATACACTGCACATTTCCATATTCTTTACTCATCGCATCATCTAGCATAGTTGCATGCATTTCTGTGAAGGGTTCTTTCCGAGTTGTTGAAGACTCGGGCAGCTTTGCCCCCCTGCATCATAGATTGTACTTCAAACCACATCTTACACGTGCGCCGCGCCGTTGGAGTATGTATGGAATAGCTATTTAGCATTAAAATGACTTTGAGCGTTGTGCCATATAGAATTGAGCACAAAAGCTTCGCTGAGAAGCATTTCAATTTCGTGGTCTCCCCAGTCCTGCGTCGGGAGGGATTGCAGGAACATGATGATACCCTAGCACACCTAAGATATGTAATCCTAAGAAGACAAAGGTGGACGTACCTGGAAATCCATTTGCCGGAGCTTTTCGCTCCACTTGACGAGGAATGCAGAGCATACATAAAGGTGGAATTGAGAGAATGCATCCGCTCCTTCAGCCTGGGATCATACAATCAGTAACAGACATCCTACGAAGGCGTGGCCAACTCACTAGATACGTGTCCCACATGCGGATCGTGTTCTTCACACTGATTTCTCGCATCAGAAGACAATTCATCCAGCGGAAAGCGAACTGCATGAATTCAACATTTTGGGACTCGAGGTGTGCATACAGGGGAGCTGCTCGATCAGCAGCAGCCATTGTGCGCAGGTGGAAAAGAACATACCATCAATACGTGCAACAAGCTCAGCCATACGCTTGACACTTCGCTGAATGCCAGGTTGTGCTGAGATGTAGTTATCCTGGATGCCGTCCAACAAACGTGACAAGCACCAAAACGAGTCTGCTTCGACAGCACTCAGGACAGCCGTCGGGAGCAGAGAGGTATCAAATTCTTCCGGATCTGAATCTGCAAGTATTCTTAACGTTACACGTAGCCATGAGACAATAATAGCATACCAATGTAAGCGGAAAGGAAAACCTGGAAGAATGGGGTAACGAGGTCATTGATGCCTTGAACGTATCCACTTGCTGGGTGTCGTATTGCCCAGACATAGAGAATTCTTTCGAGACTCTACTTGCGGCAAAGATATTAAGATCTGGTGGAATAAAATCGCGACTACTTACACGTTGAGTGGATGCCTGCATCCATAAACGCACACCAGGTCTCGTCCGTGGTACGTCGATCTCGATCTGATGCCATATTTGTTGGTCGAGCCCTTGACGATCCCGAGCGAACGCTAGTTCGACTAGTGATGAGTATTCTCCTCTCTTCCGTGCAAGAGTGGAAGCTCGAAGGTTTGATGGCAAGGGAAGGTAGCCCTAAGCATCGACATTAGAAGGTAAGGAGATGCAAGGAAGTCAGCTCACGAGAAGAATCGGCCATACAGCGGCTCTTAGATCGTTGGGGGTACCCGCCCAAGCTAATTTACGGAGTTCGCCTATTTGTGAAAACTCAGGTACACGGTCAGCGAAAGCCTACAAGAGCGCGCACTAATATTGACATCATCTTTGCTAAGACAGTCGATGAATTTGATTCGTCGGTTTGTGCGAATGGAGCTCTCCCGAAGGAGCTTCTCAGCATCACTCGAACGTGGAGAGTGACCCATCCTATGATTAAACCTTGGTTCTGGCAGTGGTTGAGGAGAACGGAGAAACCTGTGCAACGGATCTAAATGTCTGATTAGATGTGGAAAGGAATTTGCTAGAAGTAAATACCGTTCATAATCTCGATAACATCAGATTTGATGGAACCTTGGTCTGGTTTAACTTTGATGCCAGTGCCAGCGGCCTGCTCCATTTCTGGCTCGAAATCCCCTACGACCATGTCACTGTCGACGTCTACATCGCCATTTGGATCAATATCTTTGGGTAACTTGGCACATAAAGCATCCTGTGAAGTGCCAGATTTTCTAACCATTGTCCATCCACCCTTTGCAGGTTGAGTGGTATCGGCAGCATTCGAAGGGTAGGAACCTGGACTTGGCGCACTGAGATGAGTGTAGGAGAATGAGACATTGGAGGAGGAAGAGTTGCTAGGGGGTCTAGGGACTGGTTTCGGTGCTGTTATCGGAGATGACTGGCGCCTATATGATGATGGGGAAGGAGGGAGCCGCCACGAGTTTGAGATTGTGGACTGGCGAGGTGATTCAGAGTCTGATCCACTATCCCAAACATCGTCTTCTCCCCATTCTGCGTTAGATCTTGCATTGAATGATGAGTGCAGACCAATGTGCGGTCGTGCAGGCGGAGGCTTCGCCGCCATCGTTTCACGGCGAGCCAAGTTATTATCTGCCCATTCGTGGTTAAACGTTAAGTATTACATTAGATTAGGTAATCAACCCGCTATTAAATTCACCGCTGGCCCAGCCAGCCGCTCTTCTCTTTTGTATTCAAGTTGCAATGTCTTCAGAAGATAAGGATTTCAAAGGGCGGTGTATGTACTGCAACACCGACGTCGGTCGCGACAAAGTCAAGACATGCGGTCGCTGCCGGTAAGCAGAACTCGCGGAGGAGCCGCTCCTCACTGCCTACAATAAATATTATTAGCTAATCCTGGTTTTTGCAGACTGGTACGTTATTGCTCCAAGGAGTGTCAGATCGCGTCGTGGAAAACCCACAAATTACGATGCAACCCGAATCTACGCGAAAGCCTTGCAAGTGACCCAGCCAGTAACGCTCTAAATACGGCCCTTTCCAAGTGGATCAATAACTGGAGGGATGAATTGCATAACTGGGCGATATGGGCAATGGATCTCGCAAATAGTCCGCCGGACCGACTTGCTACACATTGGTCAGTTGATCATATGCGACCCCGTGCCAGCAGCTAAATGAAGTACAACAGCTTTGTGATCGAAATTGAGCGTCGACCGAATCCCCCGAGCGCTTCCCAGTTCTTCCGGGTGAGTACTCTCTGTCGGTATCCTCAATACGTCTGAAATCCCACAGATGCATGGAGGAGGTGTTGAAACTCGAGCAAGTTTCATTGCACGCTTGGAAGAAATAAACGAGGCCAGCGAGGAGACCGTTGCATGTGTAAATGAGCGCCGAGGCACCGACACTGCTCAAATTATTATCCTCTGTGAGGATTTAATTCGATTCTTATGGTTCTCTCTCCGAGATGGAGGTGCATCTTTGCGCAACCGCGACCCTGCCATGTCCAAGGCACTTGCTGAGAACTGGCAACAAGGCATGATTAGCGCAATTGAAACCGGCCGTCGTGAGTGTAAGAGCCTTGCGCCTGATTAGTTCTAAATATTGTGCTCCAGCCCAAGCATCCAAAACTCATCTAGATAGAGCCGCAATCAAGGTCGTAGGACCGCCTCCCATATGAGTTGATTATACCACAGGCGGCCGCTCATGACGGGTGAGACGAGTAGTTCATTTCGAATACCGCACTTCTACGGACATTCTCATACATTACATGGTGTATCATAATGATAGGCAAGGTCCAAGGGATGATTCAGCAAAACAATCAAAGAAATTAATTACGCAGCAGCAGCAGCCCGCTTCAGGAAATCTTCCTCATCCCATCCGTAGTAATCTTTTAATTTCTTACCGAATTCCTTGATCTTCACAGGATACAGAGTGGGATCCGGGTGAGCTATAAAAAAACGAAGATAAGAAAGGCAGCTAAGTCGGCTAGGTTGTACATACGCTTGTGGAATGTGATAGACTGTAAGCAGCTCAGCATCATGGTCGAATTCCTGATATACTGGATAACATACCCTGTCTCCATCGTGAGGCGGATCGAATCGCACAGACGATCCGGCGGTACTGGGATCATATGAGAAGCCCATGTCACGCATAACCTGTCGACATGTGTGAACATTCCCTGAGTCGATACCAAAGAAAAAACAAGGCACCTTGAGGAAGCTCTCCCACTTCATTGCTCCTCGTCTCTCGTCGTCTCCAGCGCGAAGCAGCTGATGCATGTACCCAGTCGTCTTCTTACCCAGTTTCGAGAACCACGTATGTTTGCTGTTCACATTATCCTTGCTTTCCTCTTTGTCCTTGGCTTTGTCTTTGCCCTTGGCCAAAAACCCGCGGTTGAACATGGATGCATGATCAGGACGAGATTTGATCTTCTCCTTCTGAGGGACCTCCTGCAGGAAAGAATGACCAGAATGAGCCGTAGTTTGTTCTGTCAGCGGCAATGAAGCAGTCGACATGTTGTTGAGAAGGGTTGTCGCCGAACTGTTCAAGCTAGCCCTCCTAGCAGGGCTTGGCTTGGAGGGGCTAGAGGGGGGAGAGACTACGCGCGCTGCAGGTGACACAGGAGACACGGGGGCATCTTCGGGGAGGACAGGCAGATCCGTGTCGGTCTTCTTCTTCTTTGGCTTCTTTTTCTTTTTCTTCTTGCTAGCAGAGGCAGTATCAGCATCAGCGTCATCCTCATCGTCGACCTCTTCGACTGTCGTGCGAGTATCTTTAGGCTGCGCAGAAGAGGCTCCTGCATGGAAATAAATCAGGTCTGGATGTACGGGGAAACATTGCCGGACACAAACCAGCAGCTTGTGGAGGCTTAGCCCCGAGGGCCCTGGGAACTCGTTTCTTTCGAGGAGTCGGAAGGGGTCGCAGTGGAGGTAGTTCATCGTCTGGAATACCGGACAAATCAATCTTAAGAGCCGGACCTGGCTTGGGCTTTGGGGCAGCAGTCTTGGGAGTGAAAATGCCCTTGCGAGGTTCATTGCGCTTCGCAGAACTGAGCTTCGCGCTCGATGAGAACATGCGTCCTGTGTTCCGCAACCAATGTAAGCAGATGATAACCATAAGAGCTGTTAACTCGACCTCTTAACGAGCCAAGGAGCTTTAAGAACGGATTGCCCTTCTTTTCCTCAGCTATCGCTTCGAACTCGGGCACTTCTGTCTTTGCATCGAAAAATTCGGGGATGGCCATGGCAGTATCCATAGCCTCTCGCAACATATTGCGATATTGCTCATCTTCATCGGAATCATATTCAGATTCTGTCTCGTACTCGTCACTGTCATCGTCTTCATCCCCAAAGTTCTGGTCAGAGTCGATCATATCGTCGCCGCTTTCGTTAGAAGAGTCGGAGACGGATTGGAGCTCGGGCATGGAGCCATCACTGCCATCGTCTGCACGACCATCAGTAATGGTGAGCATCTTCTTCGATGGTCGCTTGTGTCCACTGCCTTTCTTTCCGCCTTTGTTCTTGAATGGGATCAAACTCAAATCACCCCCATCGTCTGAATCTGAATCTTGACCTGCAAGGTGGGGGACATAGAATGAACTCCATTGAGGTGTACGGCGGAGGGCTTCATCAAGCTGCCAAAGGGTATCTATAGACATGTTGGAAACGTTTTGATAATTCTAGAATTTATAATGTCAGGGCAACAGGACTAATAGGAAAATTACTGCAGAACGTACCACGTCAACATGTTTCCACATGTCTTTGAGGACTGTCCGGTCTTCAGTGCGGCTGAGCGGGTAAACGAGGTCCTTGAAATTGGCGTAGCTATTTGATGCTTGCTGGGAAAATATCTGCGCATCAAGCCATTGCTCATACTGCTCGGGCATCTTGCGGGGTGTCTGCTTCATCTTCTCACCCTGCGCTCCTAACAAAGGACTATCAAGAAGCTCCTGGAGTTCTAATACGACCTACGGATACCGATGGTCAGCTAGAGAGACTCCACGGAAGACCTGCAGCTCTACAACATACAGATAACTCGCCGACAGCATCCCACATAGTCTGAGGAAAACGTTTTGCTTCTCTCGGAGACTCGTCAACTGCATCGTGCAGGATGTGGTATAAAATCCTCTTCGGATAGGGTTGCTTGGGGAAACATAGCTCAATGATGATAGAGTCTAAGAATGACTTGCATGCATCCTTGAGACCAGCCCAGTCAAAGGCCATCTCGGGTTCACCAGGATCGGTGTTCTCAACCGCCTTGAAGTAACGAGCATAATGGGCTGTCGCATAGTTAGAGCGTGTGATGCATAAAATTGACAAGATGTTGCCGTACGCGTAGTGGTAGCAAGTACAGAGAATTTCTTTTGACCAAGATCAACTAGGTTAGACACCAAATCACAAACGATAAGATAACGAGATAGTAAACCCTGATCCTTTTGCAGCTGGATGTGAGCCGTTGCGTCATTGAGGCCGGACTTCTCAAGCGTTCGCAAAGAATCGAGGACGACCTTCCATGCCGAAGCAACCATGTACGTATTATGAATCCTACATAGCCGACATATGATTGAACCGGTTAAAAATGGAGCATCGGACAACGTACCTGATTGCGATGATGGACGCCACATAGGAGGGATCTGATCGTACCTCCCTACCGTTTTTTGTCGTACCATATGGTGTACGAGCATTGAGCTCCTCGGTGATCTTACGGTGGAAAGATTCCGGGTCTTGCAAATTGGTGATATCGTCCAAATATGCTAGACCACATGAGACGAAGGTATGACTTATGCATGTGATCGCGTACCATTGAACTGAGAATCTGCGATCTTGATACATTTTGCCAGTTTCAGAGGTGACATTACAGCAGTTCGTGCGTGCTCATTGACAAGGTCCTCTGCCATTGTACCTCGAATGAGCGGATCGCGTGGCAATCGGCAAGATGTACAACTTGCCTGCGAGCAAATCAAGTTTTTCCCTACCACTCATTTTACTTGAAAGCATAACCTCCCCAGTGCCTCTTGCTCCAAATTTACCATTTCGTAACACCAAGGCTCGAGAGGTCGTAGGTTTAAGACCATTTTCATCTCGTTTCCCTCCGTGTTTTGAGACTTGAACATGTCGTGGCCCTACTGGCACGAGGTCTCTTGAGGTAGAAAGAACAGGAGGCACTTTCGCAGGTTTTTTCTTGGACGCCATGGACGATAGATGCTAAGGGCGCTCTACTAGATCGTGTGAATCTTTGCTTTGTCTTTGTTGACGGTAGCGTTGAAGTGGCTCTACTCGCTTTAACATGGTACAGTAACTACCAGTATTCAAGCAATCGTCGGCGATAAACCATTTGATGATAATCTTCGGGGACGATATTCTCTTGCTCACGGTCCGCAATTCTAGCTTCGCACGGATTTGTTCGAGAAGCACAGCTAAAGCCACGAATAGATAAGTGATGGTGGCGATGGCGGTGGACGCCAATAGGACTTTGTCTATATCATCACTCTGTGCTTTCCACGTTCGTTTCATGACGACTATGTCACTCTAGCGCGATAATCGCCTCCAGGTGAGTACCTACCTACCAAGTTGAAGTAATCACCAAGGATAATTGGCAAAACGATACTGCCTCTGGGCGGTCAACCCGGCCGGCAATTGCACATCATCCGATGTTTGACATGTGTGAATGCGGTACGTGCGCGCTACTGGGAAGAATGGACCGCGAACAGAACAGTGCGGCATATCAGGCCACCGCTTGCATGTCAATCACTCCGTGGACTCCCTGTGCATCCCAAGATATCCACCAATACAATTTCGCCGCCTTTGACAACCGGTTTCAGTATCTGTCATTGAATTCATACACTTTTGTTGAGTTTGAGCTCGTTCAACATTCAAATATTCGAGTCCCTCCAAGTTGCACTTGCAAGACAGCTCTTAATTAATTTTCGTAATAACCTGTAATACAATGAATTATTTTGCCGAGCCTCGTCTGAAGAAATGTTGAGTTTCCAACTTTAAATTTTGCTTTATGTAATATCCGAACAATACACACCGCTTGTAAAAATAGTCAGATTGCCTTAACTATATGCAGTACGAGCGCGAAGTTGGTACGTAGCAGTGCCAGGTTGCGCCGTAACATCCCCCCAAGTGTATTCTATAAAGTCTTCATCTTTGTATCACTAGAGCTCCCGAATTTCACCAACTTTCTTTTATTGTTTTCCGTTGAGGTTGAGCCGGTCTCCTCCTTGTGCACTATTGCACGTTTCCATTCGCTTCCTTTCGACACACCAATCCCTTTCTTTCAAGTCGATTCCGAGCAGCGCTCGTGATACACTCGTTTTTTGCCCATCTACTTGACCACCAACCTCTTCAACCAATGGGAAAGCTCATCTGGCACGAGTTAAGTCGCTACATCTCCCTCACGGCCAGTGTTTGTACGTCGCATCCCTTTTTTGGCGAAAATCATCTCACCTGATGTTAACAGATGCAGTATGGGCCAGTTTCTGGGGTTTCTTCTTCCGCAAGTTCTTTTGGGACTTCATCGGTGGCATCTTGCGCTCTCCCGGTGGTCTGCAGTGAGTGTCATAAGACTTTGTTGTACTAATTTATATTCATGTTCTCTTGCGATAGACCGTCACCCAAGTTTGCTCTGTTCATCAATGTTATTGTCAAGTACCCTATTGTGCAGATAGGCACCATGGCCCTCGGGTTTATCATAATCGCGCTGGAATATCCTATCCCCATCCTCAAGGGAACTGCTATATTTAGGAGCATCGCTCTTAGAGTGGTGTTACTGATCATGCAAGCCGCCGGAACGGTTTTATTTTACCAAGTGAGTCTCCATACGTCTTGTACTGCCAGTTTTCTCACACAATACAATAGGGTACAAATGCGGCACTATGGTCACTAATCGCTGCAATGTTCTACATTCGCGCATTAACATTGAGAGAGAGAATGGAGGAAGCAATCAAACACAAAGGCCGAGCGGGTCAGGCATAACGAGTACGTTTACACGCAGTGCGGCTATTTCATTTTCCAGACCTTTCCAACGGTATCACATGCTGTCAGTCTGTGACTACGGTATTGTTACCAATTTCCCTATTCGATATCTTTTACTCCCTGTTGTTTGTACATTTACACTGTATCAGATATCATCATTGCGAAACATGGACACACGTGAACCTACGTGTTTCATCAATTATGTAAATCGATGGTGGTCGTGAAGATGTTACACATGTCAAGTAGTATAGTATGCCGATTTGGAAACCACCGGGCAGAGCGGCAAGAGGCGGAGCTCTCTATTTCTATGTACATTGCATTCCATTGTGTACAGTGCTTGTGTTATAGTAATGATGGTCATGATGGTCATGATACTTGAGCTTGATCTTGATCTGTCGTGATGGACCAATTGTTACAAACAGGTTTTACACGGCCTCTTGTTTACTTGGTAAGTACAGCCTTACTACGATTTGTGCTCACGCGCCGGCGACCAAATATTGACCAGTTCAGTCATGAAGGCCTCTGATATCATATCCGCGTTACCCAGTCAGTTCGAAGCTGCGCAATCTTCGGGGGATCTGTTTTTCTTCCCGTCGGAAGTGAGCAAGCACGAGGAGCTCGGGACAGAGGTGTGTTTTCGTATGCTCTCATCATAATTCATAGTATGAGCGATCAATCCACAGTGGGAGATCCGCGTATGTACGGCGCTTCAAAAGAAACCAGCCGGGTCCCCACCTGCTGGGGAAGCAGGAATCACACCATCTGATCAAGCGGATGAGACTGCCAAGAAATATGATCCATTTGCGCCTCCATACGTCCCGAATCTTCATGTCGGTGATTTACGCGACGAATCGTCCGGGACGGAATATGGTGTACTGGTACGCTCAGATTTCTCCGTACGGGCATCCAGGTCAGCTCAATGTATACATCCAGTTAAATAAATACTCGGTCGTCCCCCATCATTTCCTTCTTGTAACCAAAGGTTCCCTACCAGCTACCTAAACTCCATGATCACGCACTGATGCATATGATCGACAGAATTCATGCCGCAAAATTCACCCCTGCTGCCTCATGATCTAGTCCAAACTTATCTGTTGCTCCTTGCCGCCCGCAAAGCACGTAAAAACTATTTCGCTTTCTACAATTGTGAGGATCTCTCATCTGATGGCACACTTTACTGAGCATTCATCAAAGGCGGATCAAACAGTGGAGCTAGCCAAAGTCATAAACATATCCAGTTCATCGAAGTCGAGGATGATGGACCTCCGATCGAAAGATTAGCCAAAGCTGCGAATCTTGAAGTTTCAGGTACTTGATGCTGCTGCTCTCCTAGATATCTATGATCGAACCAAGCTCACCCTCAGGCAAACCGTTTTCGCTGTCATCGGTGGGATACGCTAATCATGTATATCGGCTTCCGACTCTGTCGAATGGCGCGTCACCGGAGCAGCTCGAACAAGTGTTGTTCCTTCCATTCCTGTCCCTCTTGGATCTTGTGATTTCGACTGTACGACATTCCCCGGACTACCCGTCTGGTACCCCCTCCTATAATGTGATTCTAACCCTGGAACACATCCACTTGATCCCGCGACGCTGGGAAACCTATACCCTACGAGAGTTGGGAGCGACGTTGAGCGTCAACTCACTTGGGTTTGCTGGCATGCTGATGGTAAAAAGTGATACCGAACGCCAGGCATTAGAGCAAGAGAAGATTGAAACGGTACTCAGAGGTGTCGGTGTGGAAAGCGTTCATGAATTGCAGGTTGCTGGTACATCGATGGAAGCAATGGACGAGACAAGTGCTCGATAGTAACATTCACGATCGTAGAGACTTTATGCACGTACAAGGCCACATACTCAAAGGATAGCAAGAAATGGGTAGCGTTCAAGAGCATCAGGCAGTATTGACCAAGTAGACCCTTCACGCTCCACATGGTGTCCAAGGAAGCAAGCTGGGAGATCCGATTAGCAGCGCCATCTGAGGTTATGCCTTCTTTCATCCGACGACTTTGAGAGCGCTTACCAGTTGGACGAAACCTTCCTCTCTGATGACTTGGGCTACGATGGATTCTAGCTCTGCATGGGATAGCTTGTGGAGGGCCGGAGTGTCGTGCAGTGATGTAACAAGCTGGGTCCGAGTTGAATCGCGACTTTCTAATGGTAATACTGCGAGTAGACGAGGATGGCTGGGAAGAATCAGGTAAAGAGCCTTTGGTAGAACTGATGGAGCCAGGCAGTGCTTGGCATTGGCTAGACTTTGGGATGGTCATCCGAGGTGTTTCTGGAGGTGTGACGAAGGTACTGTCATGAGAGGCTGCAGCCATGGATGTCGTTTTCGTAGAACTACTGCTCAGAGACACAGGCGTAAACCTAATCGGCGTCGATGGTGCGAAGGTCGGTACATTGGATTCGGATGATGGATTTTCTGAAGTGCAGTCGATACTGGTCTAAGAGGAGTTTCGCCTATTGATGGCCGAGCTTGTGAAACAGACAGTATAGTACCTCGACGGGAAATGTTGTCAAGAAGGCATGTCGTAGCTACAGTGGCGATGCGAGCGACCGGAGGCTGCGGCTGCAGATTCAATCTACAAGGACAAACAGGTCGTACAGCATCGATGAACTGAGCCGCGCTCGTTGCAGTGGTAAATGTGATCTGAATGCGCCGATATACCTAAAAAAACCATAACTTGGTAAAAAGTTTTGAGCGAACGGCATATATTGTACCGGCTGGAAGGTCGAGTCTGCTGTTCTCGAGTGCAGATATCAAATTCCAACAACAGCGTAGACAGCTCTGAGAGGAAGGCCATGGTCGGGTTGCTCAGAATTTGTCCTCGAGTTTGAGATGGATGAGAAGGAGAGTAAATCAAGATCCTCCTGGAGGGATATACTTTTTAGTGTGATTCGTTATCCCACAGTAAGAGCCTACAAGGATAATCTCTCTCTGATCGACACCCATGCTATTGGTGTTGCTATCGAAATTCCATACCACTCGAAAGCGGACAGAGACAAGATCTCCTGCGGAAGATTTCTTCGCGTCCAGATAAGGTTAATAACAGGGTGAACGAAATGTTGCCATTCTGCATCCATTGCAGGGTTCTGAGAGTTCGATGGCGAGCTTGTAGGATATGAATGCGAGTATTTTTCTAGCGGATAAGTCACAGATGTTGTCGTTGAATTGAGCCATTCTCTGGGTGCAGAAAGTTCTATCATGGTGAATCGTGTTGCCGCCGGTGTTTTTTCAAAGTCCGCACGATCTCACTTATTATAGACAAGCACCACTCAACAATCCACCGTGAAGCATCCAGCACCGAGCGTTCGCATCAATATGGTCAGTCTCCGTGTGATCAATTCAAAAATGTTGTTTTTGATGAAAATTACTTACGTGGACCCTAAGTCTTTTTTTGATTTGGCCCCTGCCCGTCGGTTAAACCTCCGAATTGACCAAACCTTCCGCGACTCTCGGGCCAGCTTAAATACGCTACCATATGAGTACGCTTATTTCCCTATCTGATCTGGCGACCTCTCGTCACCTTCGGCATCAATGACGGAACTTAAAAATATTAATTAGAAGCCACATCATAAAGCGCGACTTTCTCAGTTTCGCTCTATACTACATTCAGCCCCGTCGTAGGCGTCTTTGGTCGCTGGTGTCTACTTGTAACTATCTGCAACCCTCTCGACGGTCTTCACATGTGGCGGGATTACGGCGACTATGATAACGACTCGGGCACGGACCCCGATTTAACGGACCTGGACACGGGCTCAGATAGTAGTAGCCAATGTAGCGAGCATGGCAACCTGAGCGAAGCGCCAGGTGAAGAAGCTGTAGGTGACTATGGCGGAGAGACATATAGTAATCACTGTCTTTTTTTTTATCCGCGCGAAATTGCTCACCAACTTTTGCTTCAAAGTTCCAGACAAACGACACGTAGCAAAGCGCGTCAGGACGGGCAGAGGAACCGATATAGGAACAGCACTAGCAGTAAAACGTTCCGGCAGAGGAAAGAAAAGTCTAAGTCTCATCGTTACTGTGCCAATCGATATTCTTCTCGAGGTAAGTTAATCATTTTAATGAGCATTGCACATGCATTTTATTTGCCTGACCTCCGCTTCAATATAGATTTGTAGCTTCTTGGAGCCGGTGGACCTCTTACATCTGTTCCATGCCCATAAAGCTTTCCATAAAGTACTGTCGTCTAACCACGCAGTCTCAGTCTGGAAAGCTGCTCGCGTCAATCGTGGTGGTGTTCCTGACTGCATGCCTGGCATGTCTGAGGCGGAATGGGCTGACCTATTATTTGGTGGTTCTGACTGTTACGTTTGTCTGGTCTCTGTTTACATCTTTTATACTTTCGTGACCACAAGCTCAGGAATGTGGCAAGAAGAGAGTGTGGGATATAGACTTCGGTATCAGGCGCAGAGTATGTCAACCATGCCTCAATGAAAAGTGAGCACTATTTTATATTATCACGTCCTTATCTGGCCAACGATCCGTCAAGCCTAGTCTGCAAATCGGCCTTTCCATTCGCATTTCCTGAATACGATCTGATCATTCTGGATTTGATCCCATTCAGTAGCAGTGGGTGTCGTCTTACTATGACTTATCTGTATCTGATCTTTCTGCGCAGTCGGTGCTGAGGATCATGACCATGATTATATTGTTGACTTGGGCTGCAAGTTGTTTTGGTCAGATGACATAGATAAAATGGCAGAAGAGTTGGAGGTGTATCTCAAACCAGGTGCCGAACAAGCATTAGAAGACTTTAAACAATCACGCAAGAAATATGTTGATTCTGATTCCAATGTAAGATCCCTACCAGTCGTTTTACTAAATCTAACAGTTTCGAAGCATATAGCAGTCTGTGACGCTTCGGTCGCCAATGATTGTACACAGCAATCGCTCTGTGTTGATGAGCTTCGTAGCCAAAATACAAAGTTGTAAGTAAATTCTATCGACTCGTCATCCAATCACGTCTTGATCCTCTATCCTAGGTTTCAAGCTAGACTGGTCTATCTCGGCCATGATGCTGAGGATGTTGAGCGCATGTTCGACAATCATCACTATGGGGTACTAGATAAGGAATTTACCGACGCACGTCAGTGCTCTACGATATTTGAAAAGATTTGTCCTTATATTGTTGATTTGCAGGCTGGAAGCGTTTGATTCCCAAAGTTGAGTGCAAGCTTGCTCAATTGCAGGAAGAATGGCGCCTCGAGAGGCAAAGAAAAGTGTCGTCTATCCGGGAGTCTGAACTGTTGACTATGTACCAGAAATACGTGTGGCCGTTGCCACAGGGTATCACACCTTCTTCCGAAGATTTCTTGGAGCTATGCGACGTTGCAGAATTTATCAAAAGCCCACCCACTGCGGACACAGGCAGCGATGCTTTCGCCGAAAAAATTCCCGATTTTTGTGCCGACTATATGCATAAAAAGAAGCTTGAGCTGACGCGACTGCTTGCTCTCTCCACTGATGCAGTGCAAGATACCACGACGCCACAAAGCCAAGGAATCGACGCCCCTGATGATATGTTATTGCAGCTGGCAACCTCCGTTTTTCAATGCACCTACCCGCAGTCATTCCCATTGATTACATGGGACAAAGTACAGCATCACGGAAGGTCTTCTCACAGTCAACGCCCCCGATCCAGTTACGCAATGATGTCGACATCACCTTGCACATTTTCGGTCTCTCAACGTGGGGTGGCCGCTGCACGTTCTTTGTTAAGCTTGGTCGGTCTCGATGCCCAAACAACGACAGCGACCACAATGGATGACCTCCAGTGTCGCTTTTTCTGCTCTAACTGTTCCCCCAAGCCAGAGAATGGAGGATCCTACCGGATGGCGATGAACTGGCGTCAGGGCGTTCGTCTGATGTTTGTGATTTTTATGCTGTACTTACCATCTTCTAGGTCTTCCATTATGTCGAGGATCAAAGTCCATCGCACGAAGAACCTCGTTGGGAATTATTGAGTACTGCCCAACTTCATGTCATTCAAAGTTCCCCTGCGCCCGAATATCCCACAGCCGCTCGGCAAGTGTGGCGTTGTAATAAATACAATGTATACCACCGCGACTCCACTACAAAGGCTAAGGTGATCAAACATATGCGATCGTAAGTCATAATCTTTTCTGTTTCACTTTACCTTTTTTGACGCGTAGTAGGCATGGAATCACCACTCCGACTGAAGGAATTGACTTTAGCTATGACCAGGGTGTCATCGAGAAACCGCCTCCAGCAACGAAATTCTTCATTACCCCTCAGATCAAGAAGCCCTCAAAACCAAGCACGACTCAGAAGTCTAAACCTTCTACTAAGTCGGTATATCGCTGCCAACATTGCAATGGCTTAGATCGGACTTTCCTATTGGAAGGCGTCAAGCAGCACATCAAAGTCAAGTAAATAAGCATTTGTCAATGGCCCAAATCCACTACTTAATGATTTTCCTTCAGGCACGACATCAAGTCTCCACATGAAGGCCCAGATTTTTATAAAGTAAAGTAGTTTTATCGCGCTTTAATTTTTCATAGGCTCCCCTTCATCTTTCACTCTGTATATACGACCTTTAACACATAACTCAGCGGTTACGTACGTCGTCTGCATCTCTAGCCTAATGCTTAAGTATATACCGAGCTCGATCTTTGATCCACAGTAACTCTCAAAGGATGGTTCCTTAAGTATGCCAACATATGCCAATCTATGATTGACAGGTGGATATTATAAGTCCTACATTGTCTGTATCTCTTATGATATTGTCTTCGGGACGCGTCATAAGGACTGGAGTTGTTATTGTTCATGTCGTTCTTGGTGCTGTACCATCTCCCCAAGGCAGCCCTCAATCAAACGAAGATAGGTTTTCCTTCTTTACTGCTGTAACCAAACGTTACGGTTGTTACATGTCCAACGTTATCAGTTTTTCCTGGACTCTTCATCTTCACTCCTCGAGTTCACGATGCAGATACCGACGCAATAGCACGTCCACCCTTCCTTCCAGTCAAAAGGAAAAGCCTATGAGATACTCATATCCCTTTTCATTGTCACCATATACATACACACTCTGATTCCTCCAGGTAGGCCATGGATCCACGGTGTCAGGAGGGTAGGTACGGATCTCCTCGGTGATTTTAGCCTGTACTGGTTGAACGAACGTGGGTCCTAGTGTCTGATGTCTCGTTAGAAGAAAAACCTATGAAATGCCGTCCCTTTTCATTGCCACCATATGCACGCAATCTCTGATTCTTCCGGGTGAGTCACGGATCCACGATGTTGCCATAGCAGGCACGGATCTCCTCGGTGATATTTGACCTGGACTGGTCGAGCGAAAGCGTGTTCCGCAATGTCTATGCCTGATCATGCCTCACGCCAAACTTAAGACTGACGATGAGAAGAAGAGGGGTCAAGGTCTAGAAGGATGTGAGACTATGTAGGAAGAAGAAGTATAAAATGCTCACGGCAAACTGAATGCCGACGTAAGGTGCCACGAGACCAGCTGGTTTTCCGGAAAGGCGTAGGATGCATATGACCACGATGCTGCTAGTATAGAGTGCACCGCACTGGATGATGGTGTATATGGCAGGTTTGTAGGCATTATGACCAGTCAAATCAAATGTATCAGCTCCCGCGCGCCAAAGACGATAGGCGATCCCGGACGTGAGATAAATAGTGAGAACGATGTTGAGTATGAAAAGAGCCGTCGCCACGTGCAAGGCAATCGGTTCATCGATCTCACGGGAGTGAGTGACCATACCCCAGGCCGCTAAAGCAGTTGCTATGCAGGGGAATAATGTTAGCGCTTAATCTACCAGTCAAATCAAGTAAACAGGCCCACCGAGGTGTCCAACTTCCAGAATGAGCTAGCGATCTCAACACTCGTCAAAATTGCGACAAGCAATGATATCTTACCAGGATGATAGTAGCGACCAGGTTACGATTCCAAACCAGATAAAACCTCCAGATCTATTGTCGCAAGTGTTAGGTTCAACACCTCCACACGCAAGTAGTTGCTCACTAGCAGGAAATGCAGAACAAGAACCTGAAAGAAGACATGATGAAGTGCGATTTACGATAGAATGATGATGCCCACATTGAAAAGATATAATCCTGTCATTGTCGACCATAAGGCTGTAACACTGGCAAAGTACAAGGTACTTCCGTAGGGGACGGATATTACAGCAGGATCTGTGAGGCCCTGCAGGGCATATAAAAAGGAGATGATGATGTGCACTGTCGCCATTGAAAAGTGGAAAATGCATGAAAGTGGAACAATCCTGATCCAAAGGTGAGTGCCTGCAAATAATTGAACAAGTAATGGCACGAACCAATGTGCGCTTTTGTTCCGAATAAATATGACATACATGCACACGCCAAATAGCACGCAGCTATCGATGAAAATGAGCTTAGTGTAAGCCTTAGGGTCCTTTCTCCCTTTCAACTCACTTGAATCCTGTCGAGCGAAACATCAGCATTGAATTTATACGCTGTATCAGGGTGCATACCATAAATTATACACTGTAACCATACTGAGGTTATGAACATGCGGTCCACGGCAGGAGGTGACATTTTGCTTGAGTGAGAAAGGGTTTTTAGGGGCGATCGATGGGTCAGCTTGGTCACATTGCCAAATCCGATCAACTGTGGTGTTATCATATAGTCAACCGCGGCAAAGAACGACGACAGGACACGAACGAATCAACCAGCATGAGTATCGCTGTACAAAAGCACCAGCACCAGACCGTCTTACCACCCGAAACATGCTCCCAATATCCAACACGTTCATCTAAGATTTACAGATCGGATGTGTCCATGGATGCCTCCGTCCTATTGGAAGAAGCGACGGCATTCGAAATGGACGACATTCAGAAAATGATTCCAAGATGAAAATAACCTGAGGAAATGTATGAAATAACCGGTTTATACAAAGTCTGTATGAAGTCTGCGCAGACTTCATACCAAAAGCCTGACTGTCACGTCTGGGCGATATGGGGGTACTTGGCGACAAAGGTCCGAGCGTCGGTCAAAGGTCTGTTTGTTGTCTTAAAGCACCCTGTCGTCTATGTCAGAGACCGTTGCGCATCCTGCTGCATATGTTGCAACCGTTGTGACGCCAATTCCGTCCTTTCAGCTTGCCATCGCGGTTCGGTTCACCTCCCGGGGGGAGGACGTGGTAGCTGTAGACTGGGAGCTGCAGATAATAAAATCATGATGGTATTGGTGGGCAGGTAGGAAATATGCCAACATGGAGGGAGTAGTAGACAAGTCAGGCAAGCGTGAGAGACTCAGATTGGAGGTAAAGATCCTGACAGCAGGCAGGCGGGATGGATGTTGACCGTAAGTGGGATGATAGTAGCACCATACGGCGGGCTTGACAGACTTCCAGGAAGTAACCCAACTAATGAGACAGACTTGGGAATACGTACTCCATAGTCTAGACCTTTGGTCTCGATTCTCAAATCAAGAAAGGCTGAAGACAGCGGGGAAAAACCTATGAGACACTCCTAGCTAATATCCCTTTTCATTGCCACCATATGCATGCAGGCTCTGATTCCTCCGGGTAGGCCATGGATACACGGTGTCAGGAGGGTAGGTACGGGTCTCCTCGGTGATTTTAGCATGTACTGGTTGAACAAACGTGGGTCCCAGTGTCTGATGTCTCCTTAGAAGAAAAACCTATGAAATACTGTCCCTTTTCATTACCACCATATGCACGCAGTCTCTGATTCTTCCGGGTGAGTCATAGATCCATGGTATTGCCATAGCAAGTACGGGTCTCCTCGGCGATATTGACCTGGACTGGTCGAGCGAAGCGTGTTCCGTCTATGTCTCGTTATGTCTCACGCCAAAGTTAAGACTGACGATGAGAAGAAGAGGGGTCAAGGTCTAGTAGGATGTGAGACCATGTAGGAAGAAGAAGTATAAAATGCTCACGGCAAACTGAATGCCGACGTAAGGTGCCACGAGACCAGCTGGTTTCCCGGAAAGGCGTAGAACGCATATTACCACGATGCTGCTGGTATAGATTGCACCGCACTGGATGATGGTGTATATGGCAGGTTTGTAGGCATTATGACCAGTCAAACCAAACGTATCAACTCCCGCGCGCCAAAGACGATAGGCGATCCCGGACGTGAGACAAATAGTGAGAACGAGGTTGAGTATGAAAAGAGCCGTCGCCAAAGCCCAGGCAGCCGATGCAAATGTGACACGGGACCGAGTGACTATAGACCAAGCCGCTAAAGCAGTTGCTACGCAGGGGAGTAATGTCAGCGCTTAATCTGCCAACCAAATCAAGTAAACAGGCTCACAGATGTGTCCAACTTCCAGAATGAGCTAGCGATCTCAACACTCGTCAAAAGTGCGACAAGTAATGATATCTTACCAGGATGATAGCAAGGATCAAGTTACGATTCCAAACCAAATAAAACCTCCAGATCTGTTGTCGCAAGTGTTAGGTTCAACACCTTCACACGCAAGTAGTTACTCACTAGCAGGAAATGCAGAACAAGAACCTGAAAGAAGACATGATGAAGTGCGATTCACGATAGAATGATGATGCCCACATTGAAGAGATACAATATTGTCAGTGTCGACCAGAAGGCTGTAACACTGGCAAAGTACAAGGTACTTCCGTTAGGGACGGATATTACAGCAGGATCTGTGAGGCCCCGCAGAGCATATAAAAAGGAAATGATGAGGTGCGCTGTCGCGATTGAAAAGTGGAAAATGCATGAAAGTGGAACAATCCTGATCCAAAGGTGAGTGCCGGCAAATAATTGGACAAGTAATGGCACGAACCAATGCGCCCTTTTGTTCCGAATAAATATGGCATACATGCATACGCCAAATAGCACGCAGCTATCAATGAAAATGAGCTCAGTGTAAGCCTTTAGGGTCCTTTCTCCCTTTCAACTCACTTGACTCCTGTCGAGCGGAACATCAGTGTTGAATCGATATGCTGAATAAGGATGCATACCATAAATTATACACTGTAACCATACTGCAGTTATAAACATGCGGTCCAAGGCAGGAAGTGACATTTTTGCTTGTCACAATCAGGTGAGAAAGGGTGTTTAGGGGCGATCGATGGGCTAGCTTGGTCGCATTACCAAATCCACATCTGGCAGCCTAGCTGCGGTCGGCAAGAACTGTATCATAACAGTCAACCGCGACAAAGAACAACGACATCAACCAGCTGCATGCGGTATCATTGTACAAAAGCACCAGCTTCAGACCGTTCTGCCAAACACGCCTTACGCCCACCCGAAATATGCTCCCGATAACCAACATGTTCATCTAAGACTTACAGATTGGGTGTGTCCATTGACACCTCCGTCCTATTGGTCTAATTGCAGTAGCCAATTTGATTGATGCAAGGGAGCATGCAGAAACCGATGCGGGCGACAACTCCGGCATCCGTAAGATTCTCCAGCTCAGGCGAGTCTCATCCAAAGTCTGTAGGGAGGGATGTTGAAACGACTCGGCTTGAGGATCGATGTCGATATTGTGAGCGTCAATTCATAACGCAGTGTCTTGCAAGTAGGAACATTGACGGAGCGCCACAAATATAGGCAGTGACTGACCAAAAAAAATGGCAATGGTATACTGCTGCACTGCGATCAAGTGCATACTGGATACCCGTTGACACTCCGGTACAAGACGCTGGTGGAGACCAAAGTTCCATTCATTGGCTGACAGTTCACTGGAGATGACCAAAGACGCCGGAGGGCCAAGTGATCGACATAGGTGGGCGGTACTTATTAGAAGAAGCGACGGCATTCTAAATGGACGATAGTCGTAAAATGATTCCAAGAGGAAAACAAACCGAGGACATGTATGAAATAACCAGTCTATACAAAGTCTGTATGAATTCTGCGCAGACTTACGAAAAGTCTGGCGGACACGTCTGGGCGATTTGGGGGTATTTGCCCAGAAAGGTCCGGGGGTCAGTCAAAGGTCCGTCTGTTGTCTTAAAGCACCCTGTTGTCTACGCCAGACACTGTTACGCATCCCGCTGCATCTGTCCCAACCGCTGTCACGCCAATCCCGTCGTCCTTTCAACTTGCCGTCGCTGTTCGGTTCACCTCCCGGGGACGTGGCAACCGTAGACTGATGACTGCAGACAAGAAATTTATGATGGTATTGGCGGGGGGGTAGGAAATATGCCAACATGGAGGGAGTAATAGACAAGTCAGGCAAGCGTGAGAGACTCGGATCGGAGGTGACAGCCGGCAGGCGGATGGATGATTGTAACACCATGCGGCGGGCTTGACAGACGCAACCCAACTACATAATAAGACAGACTTGGGGATAGTATCGATACGTACCCCAAGGTCTCCGTTCTCAAATCAAGAAAGGCTAAAGACAGCCGCCGGGCCTCGGGAGTTTGCGGAGCTCTCCACTGTCTCACTGCGGCATTGAGAATTGCTCGTGAGTCAGGCACATATATTCTTCACTTCCACATCCTCCGACTTTGAAGAATCGCTCCATAGTAGAGAATACGAGGACTAATTCAAACATAACTTGAAGGCTACTCGATCTGTCCTACCGCTCAACATAAGGCGAGAGAGACATGCAGTGGGAGAAACATGGCTTTGCAACGAAAATTCAAGCAGCTCGCGCAGAGAACTCCTCTGAAGCTGCTTCCCTTAATGGGTACGTGTCCTTTGGCCCTTCGACAAACATTCAAATGTTGAGTTCACACCGTACTTAGAAACAAGGCTCTGACACCAATAATTGCTGGCAGCGTATGTGGAGGTGTGCTGGCCATTGCATGGATTGTCGGCCTCATTTGGTTTCTACTTAAACGCCGGAAATCGAAAAATCGGAATCCTCCCAAAGAGACCAATGAGATGGAGCCATACATTATACCCCCGGATCCAGCCATCTTGCAAGGAGACAAGGAACTCAACCAGCACAGCGTACGCATATCCGTCTAGCAACAATAACATGGTCGTCGATATCAGGTCTTGAATCATACACGCGGCACACCATGACATATCTAATATGTGCAAATGTCAGAATTATAAAACGGTGAAGATGTTTGTCGTGTTGCTACCCCCTCGCAAATTCTGAAATTTTGAACAGACCGAACTACACTATATACAGGCAATGTGGACATCGCGGACCCGACGTACGCTGGACCATTAGTTTGAATGGAAAGCAGAAGTTCCGTTCTGCAACCCAGACCCGTTAAGCTGTGACGTGCGACATACACACCCAGATCAGGCTGTGCTCATCATCCTCTGGTTGTTATAAGCATCTGGGTCGGTCAGAGAACTACTGACAGCGCGCCAGTTCACGCTGGGAATGTACTTTTGATAAATTTTGTAGCAATGCCACTATTGAACCATGCAACCATGAAGTTATAACGTGAAAACTCACTCCATCACATCGCTATGCACTACGCCAAGTACTGTCGTCAATCCAGCTAACTCGGAAGCAATTGTATTGAAATATACAGTTCTTTTCTTTGAGGAAAGTTACATCGTACGAAATAAGTAGGAGCTGCTATACCGCGGGTTAGTACGGGTACGGGTACAGTGTCGATCTTCCGACCCGCGGGTATACCCGTGCTATACCTTAGCTTCACTGTAAACGCTACACCACCGTGACGCATCAGTATCCGAATCATCTTTCTAAATCAAAAACCCACGAGTCCAATTGATGCCCGTTAAACAATGCTTTCTGTGATAACCACCATCACGGTAATAGCAGTCAAAAACCCTCAGGATCTCACTCAAGAAGACACAGAAAGCTCAATAACAGAGATCGCGTCCGCATCAAAGGTTGACGTTTTAACGTTTAGCGTTGGGTATTTTCATATACATACAGATTTTATCTTGGGCGCTGAAGCCGTGGGCCACGAGTCCGTGAGAGGTTAGGAGAAAAATTGGACATGACAAGGGTGTCCGCCCGGCGCCGAGCCGCAAGCAACAATAAGTCAATATCAAGCATAAGTATAGCTTGAGTACGTTGGGCTGTGTTGTACGCACACAGGCTACAGCTACTTGTTAAATTCTCTTCACTCTCCTACGTCTCATATTCCCTCTTACCTATCGTCTAACCCACCCGACCAAAATGCCCTCTCTGTCGGCTTTGATCAAGGTTTTTTTCAAGGATTTGGATCTCCTAAAAGGAATCGCAGTTCGTTCGAGGTGCCCCGCAACTTGCAGTGGCGATTCCTTTGCCCGTACACCTTCTGACATGGCTCAGATAATTTCGCCTATCGTCCAGGCCACAATTGCAGGTGCAATTCCGGTTGCTGGTCCTCCGATACAAGCTACTATCAGTGGATTATTGTCAATCCTTCAAGCCATATACGTGAGAGTTTATTTTATTACCAGTATGTTTCTTGATTCAAAGGCCGTCGTCACAGATACGTAGTCAGAATAAGGCAGACATAGATCGCCTAAGGGCACAACTTCAACGACTAAGCTCACATCTGTGCAACGCCCCAACCGCCCAAGATCCCTTCGAACAGCACCGAAGGGACGCCATGATTAGGTACATGCTTTCTTGACGTGTTCTTGAATTTACCTGACGTCAAGTCCGCTTAGGATGCTGCAAGACATATATGCCAAAGTAACACGGTTGTACAACCATGGTCTTGCATATACATCTGTTACGCAAGCTATCATTGAATGCTCCAGCGAAATCGACCATTATTTTGCGGATTATTCAGTTGTGTTCTACTCTCTCAAGATTGTTTGCATGCACTCACTATTACACTTCGTCAGTGGTCATCTCAAATGCAAAGTGAACACGAAATCTTGATGCGATTTGGGAGCGTGTTCTTCCCTGTGCAGTCCCCTGTGGGGCCGATCGTCACACTTGGCTTTGTTACACTTGTAGACGCAACGGGCCGCTTGCATCCAATACCGATGGACGTCTGCGACTCGTTTGAGGTAAGGCTCGCTATAAGATCCACCTTGGGGAAGCTTACTCATCCAATTCTCTCTAGCGATTCAATGAGCAGCTCCAGCTTTTATTCAAACACAACTCGACCCAAGCTCAAATTCAGAGACGGTATATGAAGCAAAGACAATACGATTTGTGCATTGATGACGACAAGCAAGTAACACAACTCGCAAGTCGTAGATGGCCAAGCATTCAAGCAGGCACGACGATCGTCATGAGGGTCATCTTTCAACAGAAGACACGTCTTGGAGTTGAATATACATGCCATTTTTGCGGCGCTGTTAATCACATTAGCCGCCCCAAGAATTTGCTTCAACGCCAAGCTGGTTGCTCTATCGATTGGTGAGTATATTTGTATTTTGTATGCTAATGGCACCTAACAGCCGAAAGTCGAGTATGCAAACGACGATTCCAGATTTCTCAGCAAGATTGCGCCACACAACCCTCAATTGACTCCGTTCCCAGAACTGAAGAAATGAGCCTTATTCGCAACTTCCACGTCCAGAAGACGGTATGTTACTGTGGAACCTTACTAGCAGTCTTAAACTGAAAGCTCAACAACTCTGACCCTTATCCAACGCTGATGGTGCTCTGGCCGCGTTCTACTCTCAGTGGGTCTGTAGATTACGCCGCCTACCAAAGGCCGATGCTCTCCCGCATCCCGCTCTCAGACAGTGCGTGACCTTGACTTTCACCTGCTCACCCAACACTGAATAGTGTGTAAGGATGTATACGAGTTCGAAGGGGAGCAATGAACGAGACAAGAGCAAGACAACGCGCTGGTCTCTGTTGAAGTGAGGGAACATGTTCTGCCCGTCCTGTTGCCGTTTTTTGTTGTTGTGTATCATTGAAACTAAGGATGTCCACACACCTTTATGTATTTCCGGAGTCCACGAGACGACGTTTCATTTAGAATCGATGAAGAAATAGTGATGAAATTCGTTCTGCTACGATCGATGTCCTATCGACCAAAGAAACAGAGCGACTGAAGTGATGCATCACGTATGCCTGAGTTCAAGCCCTGCTCATCAATTCGGGAACTACATGTGCGAAATCTGGCATTATGCATGTAAAGACGCTAGACAAGAAGATGACAGCAGGACCGACTACCCGCAAGAAGGGCACTTTCATGATCAGGTGTCTTCACCATCCCCATTGTAGGCCTAAAGAAGTTTCAAACATGTGGGAAAATCGAAGAGTGTTCTGGCGGTGGCCAGCGTGCGTCTGTGCTTCTGTGTTTTTCCAGCCTGTTCATGTCAGACGATGTTCACCTCCACGACGAGAAGATGTACTCCACAGCTCAGAAAACCTTGGAATCTAGAAGAGTAACGAGAATCAGAGAGCGCATTAACCTGCTATGAATGACTTTTATGAATGTAGATGTCCGCCTTGGAAAACCATGTGTACCTTACAGGCACTTACGAAGATGTCAGTCACCCAACTTATGATGAATCGGTGGGGGGATACCTTCACGTTGGGGTATTCACGAGTCCAGGTGTTACAGAGGTACCTGTTAAGCTGGTTAGTACTATCGACACAGGGTGCATTACCTCAATGGACAGAGATCGGAATGAAAAAACCACGTGTATTTGAGGGTGAACAATATAACTCCGAGGTAGGTCTTAAAAGAAAAGAAAAACTTCAGCGCCACTGCAACAAATTCCTCATCTACATCTGAAGGGCACTTCCCCCAGTAAAACAAATGCAAGAGTCAACTGCCAGTCCCTCAGCCGCCGTGCAATCAACAGACAATGACTGCATCGCCAGTCAACCCAACCCCATAAAACAAACGACCGCCCAAACCCACACGCTAATTTGCGGCAGGGCCGGATGTCCGGTCGTTTTCGTTTATAAAGTTGGGACCGACTGGCTCACGGTCAGTTGCCTCACCGATGACCACTCGTTGGTTTGTAAGGTCGGGTTTTATGGGCTCAGTCATTCACCTCCCCGCTGCGACACACAGGACACACAACACACGCTGAGCCGGGTGCCGCGGATGTCAGAAGGCCATCAGCCTTGACAAGCGCTCCGGGTACTATCCTGGACTATGGGTCAGGCACAGGGCTGGATGCCCGGGCATGCTCAAGATAGAGGCGAGCTAATCTCTTCAACGAATGGAATGGGTAACTAACTCAATTTCATAGACATATAGAAAACTAACCAGGAGAAGAGACTGGTCTTGTCCGTCGAATCCAGAACGGCGTCCGCCAGCCGTTTCCTCATTTGCATTTGATGCGAGCAGTGAAGAGTCGGACGGAGGAAGTACGAGGGTGAATACGAGGTGATGAGATTCAGCAGTAAGTCAGTCCTTGATGGGAGAAAATTCTCTGATTCACCACGAACTCTAGCATCGGATGTGCAACTCTTCCACGACTGCTGGGAAAGGGGAGAAAGGTGACGGGTGTACCGCTACGCCACTACAAAGGAATTTGTGGACATCTTAAATATTATGGGTGAGCGTCAAAGGCAAAAATTCAGAGCATGCTTATTAACCCTTGGCATTGGAAGTTATGCACTTACCAGTAGCGAACATCTACGTCCCTCAGGCCTTGTAAGCAAAACGTTGTGACTTTCATTCACAATACAATCCCCTTTTAGGGTTCTCCAGGATTTCCGTGATATGATCACTAGACAAACGAATAGGCCTGGAAGATTACGATCCTTTGTGCTTGCTTTGTGCCCAATCAAGTTCAAGCTCAAGCATCGACACTGGCTTTCTCAGACTCGGAAGGAGCCGGCACAGTTCTTCGGCGACTCGGAGGCCGGACCGTACATTCGTTCCTCACTCACCTCCCATTATTCGCGTTCACATCGCGTTTCTTTTACCGAGGCTTGATATATCTGATATACCGATGGTTGAACACGATATCCAGCTATCCATCTTGATACATGACATGGTCATCTAGCGGCCCGTACTGGGTCCCAGCCCAACTACTCAAGCTGTTTGCTTAACCTCGTTGTTTTTGATCTGAGACGAAATGGACAACCCCTCGTTCTGCAAATCAACCGACAGCAGTAAACTTGCTGTGCTGTATTACAGTCTTTCAAGATCTGCAGCCACGGCGACAACTAGGCTAATGGTTCTTCGAAGCTTCAAGATCTAGTCCTTGCTGTCACGGTCGCAAAGTCTGCACTTGAACACAAGCGCACCTATTTCTGCCCGCCTATCCCTCTGACCATGTCATATCTTACCTGCGTCCCGCCCACATCATATCACCAACTTCAACTCTACAGCTGGCTGCAACGCGGCGTGCTGCGTATGACATGGTTTTCATCTGATCTGCTCCGGTGCAGACGTTGTCATATCTAGGCACATTTATTTCACAGACCACATTCAGAACAATCATATACCCAACCAGGACGTCTTCAGTTGGACTGTAGATGACAGTTTGTCCAGCCGTTATGGTTATGACTTACAAGGTTATGTATACTTGGATCGTACGTTTGTTCAGTAGTGCGTCGGGGCAATCACTTCAAAGTCCAGACCCCTGATTGTACCAATATAGAGGCCCAAAATCATGTGGAATATTCGGCTTCTGTATTTACAAATATTGACATGCTTGACTTGACGCATAATGCTTATTGATCACGTTGCTCAATTGTCTCGCTATCCTCTCATATACCATGGCAAAAGACATCTCAGTCGCAGTAAGGCTCCTTCGTTAGCAGGCTGTAAATCATGGTCAGCAAGCGAGGTTGAATCATCAAACTAAAGCTCTCACAGCAACATCACGGGCGTATCGGAACAAGATACCTCTCCGCTCCCTGAGGGCGCTCTTGCCTGAGACTTCCCATACTTTTCTTCGGCGTACTTTCTCTTCTTCGCCCACTAGCCAGTCGATGGTCCTACTCTTTGCGTCGATGGCAATGAGATCGCCGTCTTCCACAAGAGCAATTGGACCACCAAGAGTTGCCTCAGGGACGACGTGACCTGGTAGATCGGAAGTAAGCCTTTGTCTTCAAGTGAAGTTGCGTAAAAGACGCACCAATGATGAAACCTCTGGATGCTCCAGAAAAACGACCATCCGTGATTAGCGCAGTCGAGTTGCCCAGCCCAGCACCCATAAGAGCGGCGGTGGGACCTGTGCGTAAAAGATTAGGAGGACTCTAGGGCTCGTTTAAAATACAACTGTACCCAGCATCTGCAGTTGAATGTGAGCATGCAAGAACTAATGTCAAGGATAACATCCAACCTCTGGCATTCCTGGCCCGCCCTTCGGCCCTTGATATCTGAATATCAAGACCATTCCATGCTTGATGTCTCCGCGCTCAAGTGCAGGATAAAAGTCGTGCACACTTAAAGATGAAGTATATGAGGCAAGCTAAACATAAGGTTTCGCGTTACACCGTACCTATCAAAGCATTTGGCGACACCCTGAACCGCCACAGTATCCGTTAGTTATGACATAGAATCAATAAATAACCATAAATAACCTCAAAGCGCAAACCCTCCTTCCCTGTAAGCTTGGCGACAGCGGTTCCAGGAGCCAAGCTGCCTTTGAGAATAGTCAAATGACCAGAGGGTTTAATGGGGTCGTCCAGCTTCTTGATGACGTCTTGTTTATCGAAGTCGAGCTCCGGAACATCCACGAGGTTTTCAGCGAGGGTCTTTCCGGTAACAGTCATCTGGCTACCATCGATAAGATCGGTGTTCTTGAGAAGGTATTTGATGATCGCTGGTATGCCACCAATTTTGTGAATGTCTTCCATATAATACTTTCCAGATGGCCTGACGATGTTTACTGTGAGAGAACGCAATCGAATCATGAATACGAAAGTACTTCAAATCGGCAAGGTACGGAGTCCTGTCTGAAATCATCTGGAAGTCGTCGATAGTTAAGGGAACATCGGCGGCACGGGCTATAGCTAGCAAGTGAAGAACAGCGTTCGTTGAGCCACCGAGGACATTGACGATAGTGATTGCATTCAGGAAAGATTGACGGGTGAGGATATCTCTGGGCTTCAAATCAAGCTCCAGAAGACGTTTCATATACTTGGCGACTTTGAAGCATTCCTGTGCCTTCTCTGATACACGAATTCAAAATTTTACATGCAACAGAAGTATTTTCTAACTCACCAGGGTACATTGCTGGTGTGCTCGAGGAGTAGGGAAGAGACATGCCCAAGACTTCAAGAGCAGAGCTCATGGTGTTGGCCCTAGGACATATGAGGAGGTTTCTGCTTAAAAGCAACAGAGCACGTACGTATACATACCACCACAGGCACCAGCGCCAGGACATGAATGTCTGACGACATCGAATCGCTCCTCATCATTGATGAGGCCAACAGCATAGGCACCTGACTCCAGTTCAAGGTTTGGGGACATTTGGAGCCGGATAACCACCCACCATAAGACTCGAAGGCGTCTGAGATGTTGACAGTCCCGCCTTTCTCGTACCCCATGGAAGGGCAGTCGACATGGCGCGTCCCGACCTGAATCGTACCACCGTACACGATAATGGTCGGCCTGTTGTGTCTAGCAGCGGCCATCAAGACACCAGGCATGTTCTTGTCGCAACCTGGTATCGAGATATTGCCATCGTAATGTTGCGCCTTACAAAAATCAGATAACTTGAGCATTCAGAGACTACCAAATGATGGAGCCTCTCACAAGTGTGACCTGATAAACAAAAACCAGATTAGCGTGAAATTAAAGCCTCAGCGAGGTCATTTACAGCTTCAATAGAGTCCGCGATGAGATCACGACTTGGGAGTCTGGTATGCTACGTCAACAAGATATCATACCAATGACTTTCATTATACGCACGAGTACCGCATCCCTGAATAGATGCAATCAGACACGCCAAAGGAAATTTATCAAAGACACCTTACCATCTGTTCCCATTGTAATAGCATCACTGCCTAACTTCAGTACATACTTATCGAGAAGATGACCAGACACACCTAACACCAATGGTATTAAA